CCAAATGCTTCCCCCCTCCCCCCCCCCCAATTTCTTGTATTTTTTGATGCTTTTGAGAACCAGAAGGCAAATACATAAATCAATTTTCCCTCTCTTCAACATCTCTTCTTACAAGTCTTTCTTTTTCACGCTTCCCTTCTGCTTTTAATGGAGATTTGTCTACACGTGTTTACGCAGACTTATTCTTAGAAAGAAGATTTTGTTCTCCATCTCCAGGAAAGCAGTGGTGAGCGGTGGGGGCTGCTTGCAGTACCATGGGCCAGAGACTCGACCACACTGCTCAGCGCTTTTGAATGCTATCGATGGGAGTGCAGGAGACCTGCTCCTTTTGGTATGCGATGCCCTGGTTCAACCACAGCAAAATACTGAGTCTAAGGGATGGTACTTGGAATTTTACCTATGTGCCCTATCAGAAAACGCATAGCATGGCACTCCAGCTGGGAGAGAGGTTCTGCTGCTACACAGCAAAACATGTCACGCACCACGTCAGAACTCATCGCAGCCATTAAAGCCAAAGCACCATTAAATAGATTGGCATATTTTAAAACCACTGCCCCATCCTGCCTTTCTCCAAGCACTCTGAGCTTCTTTTAACTTTCCACTACCTGATTTTGCTTTCTCTTTCATGTCCTTTTTTTGGCAGATAAACTCCTTCATTCAGTCCTTTGTATCCCTTTCACTTCTGGGAACCAACACAGCTTGCAGCTCTTCAGAGCGTTGCAACCAGGCTGCTAGGGATGCTCCCAAACCAGCACATTTGAGAGAGACACCAGCAAACACACTTCTCCTTGCAGCGTGTCTCAGTCCGATCCCCACCCCTTATGTTATTTTTAATGTATTGCAGCTAAAGGAGAGATTTCACGACTCTGCAGGCAATGTGTGAGTCACAGCCATGGCAATGAGCTGCCGAGAGTGACAAGCTGCAGTGACCGTCCAGCCTGGCTTGTCACCCCCAGTCCTGCCTTGCTGCTGCAGTAAACTGGGGGGGGGGAGGGAGGATGGAAGCGTGCGTTTACCCGCCGAGATGCTCTCAGGGTTGCGGGGATCCTGCTGGCAACCCTTGGTTTACCTTTGAAAACCCAGGAGCTCGCTTTGACGCAATGCAGTAAAAGCAGGCAGAGGGAGACACGATAGAAACTTTAACCCAAGTTGCAGCTGCAAGTAGAGCCACGAGTCTGTTCCTGAGTTTCCCCCTGCTGTTTGGGCAGATGGGGTCTGGATCAGGCCGAGACCTCATCACAGGGAAGACAAATACAAGGAGGTCCTGAGTGCTTTTCTTGAGATACACATATGAATACGCACACTCCCCTTCCACTTGGCAAGAGGAGAACTTGAGATACAATATCCAGATTCTAGGAATTTACCTTCTAGTAACTAAATAATTCTCAATTCATCATTTGCTGCCTTCCTAGATTAGTTCAGGGTAGTTTGATGCTGAAAAGAGAAGGAAGAAAGCCCACGTGTGAATGGGAAAAGCACAGATCCTGATGCCTGGAGAAAGTTCTAGTGCCCGACTCAGCAAATGCAACCTATTTGTGGTTTGTAACACTTCCCAGTTTGTTTCCACCTGGAATTTAGTCCTGGGATGCTGAAAATCTCTTTGGCTCTTCCACAAGCCAGTATGGTAAAAAGATCCTGTTTTGGAGCCCTCCAGCTCCTGAAGTCACGGGGGTCTTGATAGCCCACCTTAAATGAGACGCTTCCTTTAATTATTGTTTTCCCTTCCAGAGTCTTTCATGCTGATCAATGAACTTCTGAGTCTGAAAGTAATTAATCCCTTCACTGGTTATGCACAGTCTGGAGAAGTAATTGGTGCAGAACAGGCGAATAACACACTATTTATGCATCTCTGCCCTGGAATTATGCTATCTTTTGAAACTGTTTGATTGCAGATGTCAGTAGACAAAACCTCTTGGCAACATTAAATATTAATCAGTTCTTATAGTTTTATAAATATTTAGAAATGTGTTAACCAGTTGCTTGTTTCTCTTAGGATTTGATGGAAACATTTGCAGTGGGAAAGAGACTGAACTCGCAGATTTATTTTGTGTGTTAGAGCAGAGAAAAAAAATGCAGTTGTGGGTAATAACTGAAGGCTGCAATATGTTTTGGGTGGAAAAAGGGGGGCGAAATGAGGATATTTTGAAACACGCCATGCCAGCGGGTAGCCCAGGAGTGTGCTTCCCACGCAGGCTGTGCAGTGAATTCCCAAAACCATGCAGGAAAGTTGATGTACGCTGGGCAGAAGTGTCGATACAGCCCCCTTGTACAAGAAACTGCAATGCTGGCTGGACCACCCATGTGCAAGCAGAATCAAACCAACCCAAATAATAATCTCTAGGTCCTTGTACCTGTATCCGACCGGAACGGAAAAGAAAGCATCACGTGAAAAATCGCAAGCCAGTTTTGGATTCCACCTGCACCCGTGTAAGCCCACGTTAACAACGTGTTCTTGAGTCTCCTGCTGACACTGAAATTTAATTCACTGCACAAGCTGCCCCCTCTTCATCTTGGTGGTGAAGCTGGACTTTCTACGCTGAGGGGTGGTGGCCCCCACTGGCTTCGCCGTTTGTGACATTTTAGCAGATTCTGGAACTTGGAAGCATGTCAACAGTAAGTTTTACGTTAAATGTTGGTCTCTGGTTAGTTTTTGGTTTTAGTGGTGGTGTTCTCTTGAAAATTTTGATTAGACCCAAGAGAAAAATAACTTCAATGCTCCCAAACCATCGGGCATTTCTATTTTTAACATAACACTTGGTGCGAACACTTACTGACAACAGGTCAGCGTGACCAGGCCACTTCTTATCCATAAAGGAACAGTTATTTTTATGTCACATACACCTGTAACATTCCCAAATAAGCTCGCTACAGAGAAGCTGCCATTTAATTTGCTAACTCTGCTTTAATTAAACGTCACTCAACCAGCAAGCGGTTGAGCACAGATTTCCATTATTGATATCAGCAGGAGAAACATTCATTACTTTGCTACACAAAGACATTCAGATGCATTTGAAAGCGCGATTTGCTGTGGACTTCTTACAATTTCTCCAGCGAAGAGCGTACAGAACCCTTTCAGTTAAAGACGACTTGATCTTCAATTATTGATAGGGTAATGAATTGGGAGGCATATGCAAATCGTAAGACTTTGATCAGACTCTCAATTAGTCAACAGATCTCAGGACAGTCTGTGTACTGAACCCAGGCTTAAAAATGATTTGCATTTCTTTGCTAGATATGAGAGGTAAGGCAGCAGCAGCGTTCTTCATTTTCCTTTTGAAACGCAACAGAAATAACCCCCAAATTAATCCCATAATAAGACATATTAGTTCCCCAAATTGGAGCTGAGGCCCTCCTCCTCTTTCTCCCTTTGTTTTATTTGTCTCCATTTATTTTCTATGTGGTGGGATTTTAGAGGGCCCTTTAATTGACTTTCCTCTTAATAAAGCGAACCTGGAAGTGGCAGTAAGCATAAGCCAAGGCTTAGGAGGGGTTTCTGTTGGAAATTTCAAAATGCTTTAATTTGATTTTATCCGTCAGTCATACCAGCTATAATCTGAGCCCTACCCAGCCTCAGTTCAGACTCTGGAAGGGTGTCATTTCTACACCTATTTTCAAATAGACAAATACATAAAAAAATGAGTGAGGAATATTTTTGATACATGATACCAATATAATCTCCAGGACAGCTTCCTTTTTCCAAGAATCTATTTGTTGTCAATTTTGGAATTTTGTGTTGAGAGGCAGATTGCCCCATTGATCATTTGAGACAGAGAATCAATAAGGATGCTCCCATATAATTAAGACAGGAGGGGAAAAAAATAATCAGAAGCTACCCCCTTTTGATGAACACATGGTGTCTTGGTTGAGCTGACTTAATGGGTCTTTGCACCCTTAAGTGGCAAAGCAGCATCATAGATGATACCATGACCAGTTGTGGTTCACAGACTGGCTGTCTGCACAGAAAATCAAGGAATGAGCTGGAAATTGCCACATCTTTCCAGCTCTCCTTATATTTTGAGACTAGAGGGCAGGGAGGAAAGTTATGCTTGCAGCAGAGTTTAACGTTTTTACAAGCAGGATTGCTCAGACAAGGGATGGTAGCAGCACATGGCTTAGAGACCTTCCAGTTGCAGCCCCTCCAAGCACCTAAAGGCCAGGCAGCAGAAATCAATAGATTCCTCTTTACTCAAGAAAGCCTGGGATATGACTCTTAGGTATTTACTTAAACCAGCTCGAGTATTTATGTTACGCTACAGGAAATTTGTTCATCCTACCCCATTCAAACTTGTTTTCTAAATGAAGACGCCAAGGAAAAAACCTCAAGCAACTTTTCAACCCATGCAACCATGTTCCTGTTCAGGAAAAAGTATCAAACTGAAGGGAGGGATCCGAGTCAGAAAAAAAGTCACCAGACAAGTCGTATTTTCAGTATTGACCTTTATTGAGCAAGAACTGCTGTGACTGGTTTACATCAAACAACAAAAGGTTGCGTACTGTGCATGTCAACTAGGTTCTCCCATGAGCAAAAGTCCACCCTAATTGCACCAGTGAGGTAAACATAATTATTTATAAGTAGCTTTTTTTTAAGGCTAGGAGAGTTCTGGTTCTCATGAATATTCTAGTACTGTTTTCTGTTTGTTTTTGGCTCAGTTGGTTCTTTGCATAATACATCTTAAGTCGTTCCTCAGATATGTCCCTCCAACAGCTCAGGAAATTCAAAAGCTTCCTTTGCACATTTCATCTCATGCACTATTAGTAGTATTATTTTTTTTAGATCCCCAAGCTCTGTGGAGGGAGTACATCTTGAGCCTGCATGCATTCCCCCCCCCTCCCCTATATTGCACAAAAAAGTAAAATACTGTGTGTCTGGAGCCTCCATGAGAGAACCCGTTCTGCTTTGAAGCCGTCACTCACATGCATTTTGCAGCTGTCATATGGCTTAACCTTTTGCACCGACCCAAGCTCTTTAATTTTTTTTTTAAATTTAGCTATGATTTATTTTATTCGGTCTCCTTAATCTCTTTTACTACAGCATGTGAAGTAACTTTCTCCACTTTCTTGGTGGACACTAATTTCTCCTCAAAGCTTTCTTCATGTTCCTCTACCTTCTGAGTGACTGTCACTGACTTGGTGATATATGTGGTTGTACTGTCCCCACCTTCAGTGATTTTCTCTGCTTTTTTGGTTACTACAATTTTCTCACCCTTATCATCAATTGGGCTCACATCTAGGCCATTGGTGACAACTCCCTTGTCTTCCTCCTCAGCCTCCTTCTCTTTGGATTCCTCTGCTCCCTTTTTCTCCTCCACCTCACCATTCACTGCAATGTCTTCTTTCCTGGACTCCTTCTCTACCTCTGCACTAATTTTTGTTACCTTTGTGACAGTGATGGTCTCCTCCACCACAGCCTTTTCATCTTTGACCGGGGAGGCTGGCTTCTCTGGAGAACGGGGCTTCTCCGGAGTCACTGGCTTTTCTGGAGAACGGGGCTTTTCTGGGGTCGCTGGCTTTTCTGGAGAACGGGGCTTTTCTGGGGTGGCCAGCTTCTCCAGGGTCACTGCTTTCTCTGGGGTTGCAGGCTTCTCCGGCGTCGCAGGCTTCTCTGGGGTTGCAGGCTTCTCCGGGGAGGTTACCTTTGGTGTCGCTGGCTTCTCCGGAGATGCTGCTTTCTCCTCCTCCTTGGCTGGTTTCTCAACACCTTTCTCCACCTTCTGTTCTTTTCCTGCTTCTGCAGGTGTTTCTTTCTGGACAGCCTTGGCCGGCTCCGTTACAGGGGATTTGGGGGGGGATTTGGGGGGTGACTTTGAGGGAGGTGTTTTGACCTTCTCTACCTTCGCTGCTACCTCTTCAGCTTTGCCCTTGGCCTCAGCTTCTTCCCCCTCTTCCTCAGCCTCCTCCCCTTCTTCCTTTTCCTCTATTTCTTCTTTTTCAGAACCTCCTTCTTCCGCTGCGTCAGATTTTGCAGCTTCTTCTTCCTCCTCTGCTTCCTCTTCCTCCTTCTCTTCTTCCTCAGGTGCAGCTGCTTGTTCTGCAGCAGCCTTCTCAGAAACAATTTCTTCCTCTGCAGCTGCTTCTTCTGCTTTTTCTTCCTCCTGTTCTTCTTGCTGGGCCTTGGCTGCCATTTCCTCTGCAATAGCTGCTAGGGCATCTTCCATTTCAGACTTTTCATCCTCTACCTTTGTCTCTTCAATGATTTCTTCTACAAACTTGTGCTGGACCTTCAGCTTTGGTGGTTCAATTTTTGTTTTCTGAATTTTAGTGGACGCTATTGTGACAGAGGGTTGTCTGTGTGTGAATATGGGTCCGGTAATGCTTCCAGAGAAGGCACTGAATCTTGTCTCTTCGCCCTCCAGTAGCTTCCTAAGGGAATCAGGAGGAGGAAAAAGAAAAAGAAATAAGCATAGAAACCCAACGTAAGAGACAGCTATTAGAGTATTTCCCTATTAGCAGGATGAAACCAGTTTGGATGTGGAATATGCTAGAGCTGATCAGCATAATCCATCGCTCACAGCCCCAGTTCGGCTTTCCTTGAATCAGCACTTTTGCAAAATTCATTTCAGCCAACAGCTTTCAGCTTGGTTTGCATGTGTCAGGTGTAGCACCTTTGGCTGATCAGCTGAAATTCATCCTTAATGTCAAAAACTTCATTATGGCATAAGCCAGCACAGAGTATGGCAAAATAATTACCTTCATAGGATGCATCATGACTTGGGCGAACCGAGAATTTGACACAGTCAACAGACCTGAATCAAATATTGTGGCTGCGACATTCAAAGCCCGTTAGAGCGTATGTCCTAGTTCAGTAGTTTGGGCATCCACCTTTCTTGTGCGGCTGTGAGAACTGAAGAGACTTTTGTTCAGCTAACTTTGACAGCAAACAGCTACAGACCCTAGGGTATCTCTGTGTTTGTCTGAAGGACCTCAGGAATTCAAGCAGATCTGGAGATGGGGTTTTTTTTGGTTTTACTTTTCTTATATTCAAATCATCTTTTTCATCTAAGCCTGTGACCCAGAAAAATCAGCGGTTCTCCTACGAGAGTTTTACAGTGATGTGAAGGAGACTAAAAAAGCCTGCCAGGTGATGGCAATAGCAAGCAATGTTCCTGCTCCAGATTAGAGTGGATGCCTTTAAAGGAAAGTTGAGCAAGAAAAGCAAAAGTGTTTGTGACAAGCAGATTAGCCCTCCCTGCTTGGAAGCATGATCAAGCAAGTGCACTGTCTCTCTCTCAAGCGATAAAAGGGAATTCAAGTGACAAGCACCGCTTGCTTGGCAGATGCAAAGCAGAGAGGAATTAAAAATAAGCTTGCCTTTTGCTGCATCTTCTGCTTTTGTCAACAAGGGCAGAATGCGGCACCAGGGTGCTGCTGCACTGAGTCATGCCATCCTGTGCCCACTGAGCTCACTGGGAGCTCTGCCACCCGTTACTGGAGAGCCGGTCCCTAACCAACTCTGGGTTCTTCCTGCAAACGCTCCATGGTCTGCATAGATTTTGAAACCCTTGCAATCATTCAGTCAGGCGCTAATTTTACTTGTGTTCACTGCATGCAGATATTTCTTATCTGTGGTAAAGCTTCCCCAGCCAGCAGCATCTGCAGTGCTATTAATATTCCAGACATGTCTGCAATGATCCTACTGTACCTGTATGCAGCAATTTCAATATCCAGGGCCATCTTGACATTGAGGAGGTCCTGGTATTCCCTCAAGTGACGTGCCATTTCCCACTTTGTTCCTCTAAGCTCGTTCTCCAGCTGATGAATCGTGTCCTGCAATGGAGACGCAGAAAACCTCCGTGACACAGACATATGCTTCATGCAGAACCAGAGCAGAAAAAGTTCTCACAAGGGACTTTCAGAAACTCTTCCCACCGCCCTGGCAGGCAGTGCCAGCATCAGAGCAGGACCCACCCGGCTCCCGCCACCTTCCCCACTGCCTCCCTCCCTCCCGGCCCCTGGAGACTCCACAGCCAGCACCTCCAGCTCCTCCTGCACACACCCCAGCATCCCTCCCTGCAGAGCTGGTTCCCAGACCCCGCTGCCCCCCAAACCGGGCCCAGCACAGCCCACGACCCCTCCCCACTACCTGGTAGGTGCCTCCCAAACTGGGCCCAGCACAGCCCAGGACCCCTCCCCACTACCTGGTAGGTGGTGAGGTCGTTGTTGTGGCGTTCCTCAATGTCACTGAGCTGCCGCTCCAGCGACTCCTTGGTGCCACGCACCGACTCCAGCTCGATGCTCTTGGACTGCAGCTGCCGGCGGTACTCGGCGATCTCCTCCTTGGCGGAGCGGATGGCCTCCTTGTTCTGCTCGGCCGCCTCGGTCAGCTTGGCGTAGCGGCACTTGAACCACTCCTCAGCCTGGTGCATGTTGTGGTCGGACTGGCACTCCAGCTGGGCGCGGATCTCCTTCAGCGCCGTGGTGAGGTCGGTCTTCAGGTAGTCCTTCCTCTCCACCGTGGCATGGGACGCCTGGAGCTGCGCCAGCAGCTCGGCCACCTCCTCCTCATGGTTGCCCCGCAGGAAAGCCACCTCGTCCTGCAGCGACTGCACCTTCTTGTCCAGCTCCGCCCGCATCAGCGAGGCCTCCTCCATCTCCTTGCGCAGGGCGCGGATGGTGGCCTCCGTCTCGTCGCGCAGCCGCGCCTCATCCTCGAAGCGCTCCCGCAGGCGCTGGATGTCCTCCTCGATGTGCTCCGAGTCCAGCTGGATCTGCGCCTTCTCGTGGCTCACCTGCTCCAGGCCTCCCCGCAGCTCCCGCAGCTCCTGCTCGTAGGCGTCGCTCAGCTGAGCCCGCCCGGCGTGCTTCTGCC